AGTACACAATCAAAAAGTCTATTATTTTAAAATATGAAGACATGTAATAGCATAATTATATTAAAATGAAAACATTTTGCCTTTTTTGGATGAGAAATGGCAGTAGTATGGATAAGAAACTGTAAACCAAAAATAAAATACTAAGCTCCCAAACCAACTGAACAAACCTGTTCTTAGCCCAGAGGGTCAAAGAGAAACCTGAAAAACTGAATTCCCACACATTACAGAAAGGCATATTGAACAGACCTCTTATAGCCTCTTCCTTTTGTAGTTTAGGCACAACTGACCAGTTTTAACATTAAAGCAGAGATCATAAGACTGACATAACAGACTCTGTGGCAATAAGATACCAAATTCCAATGTGACTTTGGTATAGCATCACATGACAAGTGAGTGATACAGGAGGCAGGAAGAAATTATTTAGGCAGATAGTGAGGGCAAAAGAGTCCTCTGCAGAATTTCTTTCATAACAAAAAAGCAACCCCGCAAATCATTGCTTTTCTTGATTTTCCTGAAAAATCAAGCTACTAACATAGACAAGCAAGCTGAAAGTTTGCACAGGAGAAATCAAGCAACAGAGCCAATCGAAAAGGGCTACTTGGACGCCAAGGATGTCAAACATGGAGGCTCTATCTTCCCTTTTTTTCCCCGCTTGTACAGTAATAAAGAAACTGGCATGTACGGCACGGTGGCTCATGCCTGTAATCCTAGCACTTTGGGAGGCCAAGGCGGGCAGATTACTTAAGGTCAGGAATTCAAGACCAGCCTGGCCAACATTTTGAAATGCCGGCTCTGCTAAAAATACAAAATTTAGCCAGCCATGATGGTGTGTGCCCATAATCCCAGCTACTTGGAAGCTGAGGCAGGAGAATCACTTGAACCTGGGAGGTGGAGGTTGCACTGAGCTGGGATCATGCCATATCACTCCAGCCTGGGCTACAGAGTGAGATTTCACCTCAAAAAAAAATAATAATGATGAAACTGGCAACATGGCACAATTCAGGGAGAAAACCCACCTGCATAATAAAAGTTTAGGGTGATGTCTAGCAGTGATTAATACCCTATGCACATTGATGCCTGGCATAACCAGTTTTTTTTGGCCCTATGTAAATCAGATGCTGCCTCCCCACTAGCTTATGTCTAAAAGCCCCATCATTTCACTGTTCATCTGGCAACCCATTTTTTGGAACCCCTCCCTGCAGCAGAGAGCTATTTCTTTCTTTCACCTATTAAATTTCCACTCTCAACCTCACACTTTGTTTGTCCACATTCTTGTTTTTTGTTGCTGTGAGGTTATGAACCTTGGGTGTTATTCCAGACAATGAGGCTGCTTCCTAGTGGGAGCTCATTCAAGACCCAAGGAAGATTCATTGGAAGGGTGAGTACAGGAGTGGACCCAAACTCTTTACTTTCATCGTGAGGCCTGTCTTCAATTTTAAAATCAAACAAAAAACCAGATAGCTGATGGCCATGTAAGAGAACTTTCGGGTGGCTGCCATTCTCAAGACTGAAATGACAGGCTTACCAGGAGAAGTTAGCTAATCTCCCAGTGTCCTCAGTGTGCTAATAATGTTGACTCTGTTGCAAAATGCTTTTCTTTCATGAAAATCCTAGCCATTGCATGGGGCTGAAAGGGGTCCAGAGGCAACTAACAGTTCCTGGCCAGGGCCATACCTCTATATTACCTAGTCTTCTGGACTAACTATAGCCTCCAACTGCCCATTGGGCATCAGCAACAGAATCTTCAAGCTTTTTTTCACTACAAGTTCTTCCTTTCCTTTTGTGGTCATTATATCTTATATCCCTTTTCTGTATGCAATGCTCTGGGAAATTTTACAACTCAGAAAAATAATCCTGTAAGAAAGGATAAGCAAATGCCATAGTAAACAGAAATGTAGCTCAGGGGATTACCATTTTTGCAGTTTTCTAAGAAAACATGATTCACTCCCCCAAACTCATGGTTAATGTCTCTGTCTCTACCCTTTTCCTAGAGAGCACTTAGTATTTTAAGGTCTACACAGCCACCTAGTGAAACAGGAATTCTCTCTATGAGGCACCTTGTTGGTCCTTTGCCAAAAAACACTAGTTTTATAATTCTCCTCCTTTTTTTGCACCCCTCTACTTAAGATCAGACTTTAGAATTCTTCCGTGAATGGGAAAACTCTTCCTTAAACGGTAGAGCAGAAAGTGTCTTCCAAAAACAAATTTTACCCCATATACTGTCCCATAAGCAGGATAATCGCTATTCAGTTCCTACGTACATTTTTTGCACCTATTCTGCCTCCAATTAAAATACTTAAATATTAAAAGGATCTCGTATCCAGGAGTTAACAAGAACCACTGTCTAAAAATAAATACTTTACTCTGGGCCATGATAGCAGAAAATAGAGCTCAACCTGGTACACTCCCTGCATAAGGGGTCTTGCCCAAATGCGACTGTACATAGTTTTTAACGAGATTCATCTGTCAGGGAGCCATGCAGATCATACAGGGCTACAAAGTCAAAGGGAATTACCAGCAGAGGACCAATGTTGCAAGGGTAAGCATGACTAATCCTACCACTTAGCTCCTCCTGATCCATGGCTCCTAATCCTACCACTTAGTTCCTCCTGATACTCCTGCATTCGTAAGTGTCATGGATGCCAGGACCCAGGGAATAAAAAATAGAAAACATTTAGGGGCACCCCCCCATCTTCCCTTCCACCTTGGACCTTCCAAAGGAGGAGGAGAATGAGGGATGACTTGTTACCTCTATATTTTTAGCCATCTTTAGCCTGCACTCTTCTCAAGTACATTCTGAAACACTGAGACTCCTTTCAGTCTAAAACTCTGCTTTTGAACAAGGGCATGACCTTTGTACTAGACCTTTGCAAGCATGACATAATCAACCCAGCTCTTTTAGCAGTCATATCCGGCAGGCCTATAGGGAATGATTCCCCAAAACTAAAGAAGCAAATTCTGGAGCAACAATCTGAAACAGCTATTGAATGCCCTGACCCTTCCTGTCCTCATTATTTGGGGCTCCCTCCAAATAAGCCATCAGCTCCTCCAGTTCCACCACCTCAAAAACTCCCCACTCCCCTGGCTTCATTTGTACCCTTACGGAATATGCCCAATGAAGGTGATGCCACTAGGATTCAAGTTCCCTTCTCATTGTAGGGAACTTAGGCAAATAAAGGGAGACTTGGGCTGATTTTCTGATGATATTGATAGATATATAGAAGCCTTCCAAAATTTAACTCAGGTGTTTGACCTCACATGGGGGGATGCCATGCTACTCCTAAGCCAAACCCTAATTGCTGCTGCAAAACATGCAGCTCTGCAGGCAGCAGAGAAATTTGGAGATGAGAATTATGTCTCCTATAGTAGATGTAAAAGGAAAAGAGAAACTACAGAAGGTGAATAATTAGAGGAACAATCATTTCCAATAGGAAGAGAGGTGGTACCTTTTGAAAACCTTGATTGGAACCCCAATAACCCTACAGAAAAAATGAGAATAAAAGGACACTTTTTAATGTACATATTGCAGGGTCTATGAAGAACAAGAAACAAACTACGTAAGTACTCTAAACAGTCCATGATAGACCAAAAGCCAGATGAGAATCCCTCAGCCTTTATGGAAAGGCTATAAGAGGCAGTAATAAAACATGTCTCTTTATCCCCTGGTTCAGTTGCATAACAGGTAATGTTAAAAATAAAGACTAGTTTATTGTACAGGCAGATCCTGATATTAAAAGGAAATTGCAAAAGCAAGCTATAGAACTGATAACACCTTGTAAAACCTCCTGTAGGTGGCCACCTCAGTTCTTTATAATAGCAACCAAAAAGAGGCCCAGGAGAAATAGAGGAAACACAAAAGAAAGACAGATGCCTGAATGACTGCTTTGCAGGCTTGCAAAGTCCAGGATCCCCTAGATGCATCCGCTAGTTGCTGCCAGTGTGGCAAGTCAGAGCACTTTAAGATTGCCCAGGCAGCAAGAAGCCACTTTGACCCTGTCCAGCCTATGGCAGGGACCACTGGGGATTGGACTGCCCCTGAAGGTGGAGATCACTGAGTTCAGAACCACAGTCTTACAGGTGATCCAACAGGAAGGATGAGCCCCAGGGCTCAAACCCCCAGCTCAAGTGGCTGAAACTACCATTACTTCTTAGGAGCCCTGGGTGATTCTGGAATTGAAAAAATGGGGGTAGAAAACTTTCTGGACACTGGATCTAGTCTCTCTCTCCTCCTCTCTAATCCAGGCCTCCCCTCTTCTTGTATCACGTCCATGAGGAGCATCTCAGGAAAGATTCTAATCCAGTATTTTTCTCAACCCTTTAGTTGTAGTTGGGGGGGATCTATTATTTTCACATGCCTTCTTAATCATGCTGAAAGCCCTATTCCTTTATTATATAAAGAAATTTTAGCTCACATGGAGGCCAGCATTCTTATAGCCCCAGAACAAACTCTGTGTCTCCCCTGGTAGGAAATAATATTCACCTAAGAATAGGTCAAGCTATTACTGCTAGGCCAATCCAGATCCACCTTAAGATTACCAATTCTTTTCCTAACCAGAGACCATATCCCCTAAAGCCAGAAGATAGGAAAGGGTTTGAAGCCATAATTAAAAACCTAAAAATATAGGGCCCCTGAAACCCAGTAACAGCCTTTGTAACACTCCAGTATTAGTGGTGCAGAAACCCAATGGGGAATGGAGACTAGTTCAGGACCTCCGCCTCATTAATGAGGACTTAGTCCCAATTCATCTGGTTGTCCATAATCCCTACACCTTGCTAACTCAAATACCTGAGGAAACTAAATGGTTTACAGTCCTAGATCTAAAGGATGCCTTTTCTGTATACCGTTACATCCTGACTCTAAATACCTGTTTGCTTTTGAAGATCACTCTGGCCAAACCACCCAGTTAACATGGATGGTGCTGCCTCACAGATTTTAAGATAGTCTTCACTTGTTTGGACAGACACCATCAAAGAACCTCTCTGAGTTTCCTCATTCTTAGGTCAAGGTCTTACAATATGTAGATGAAATTCTTTTCTGTACTCCAAGTAAGGAAGCTTCTCAGGAAGGCACTGAAGTTCCTCTTAGTTTCTTAGACAGAGGATACAACGTTTCAAGACCAAGCCCCAGATTTTCCAAACTTTAGTCACACACTTTCGTTTAAGATTGTCTGAAATGACCACAGCCTTAGGGAAAGAAAGTATTAAGCTCATTTTCTCATTCCTCCTCCCTAAAACCTTAATGCAACTAAGACTTTGGGGCATTACAAGACTTTGCAGACTATGTACCTGAGTACCATAAGATGACTCATCACTTATATCACCTCATGAAATAAACACAAATGGCTAAAACTCATTTACTAACCTGGGAAACTGAAGCACAAAGGCCTTTAACCAATTAAAACAAGCTTCACTTAAGGCATCAGTTCTCATCTTCCAATAGGGAAGGACTTTAATCTTTTTTTATCAGCAAAAAAGGAAATGGCTCTGGGAGATTTAACTCAAGCTCAAGGACAAGCTCAATGACCAGTGGACTACCTGGGCAAGGAATTTGATTTGGGGTCTAAAGAATGACAAGCATGACTCCGAGCAATTGCTGCAGTGGTCCTGTTGGTACCAAAGGCCAGCAAATTAACTTTGGAAAGTGGCTCAGCTGTTTACACCCTACATAATGTAGCAGAATTGCTATCTTCTACAGGTAGCATTTGGCTAACAGACAGCTGACTCCTTAAATAACAGGCTCTGATTTTAGTGGAGTCTATAATTCAATTAAAAATGTGTTCCCACCTCAACCTAGTCACTTTCCTCCCTGAAGAAAGTGGGGAACCGGAACATGACTGTGAACAAATTGTGGTATAGACCTGTTCAACCAGGTAGAATCTCAGGAAAACTCCCTTAGAAAATCCAGACTGGACTCTCTTCAAAGATAGACGTTCCTTTGTGGAGCAAGGTGTCAGTAAGGCAGAATATACAATAGCCACTCTAAATGATTTTATTGAAAGTGCTCCCCTCTTTCCAGGAACAAGTGCTCAATTCCAAGAACTGATAGCTCTTACAAGAGGACTTCAAAGAAGCAAGGGAAAGATGGGTAACATTTACCCTGACTTTTTATATGCTTTCTTAGTTCTTCATGCTCATACTGCCATTTGAAAGAAAAGACATTTTCTTACTACTAATGGATCCCCTATAAAATATCATCAGGAAATTAACATGATTGTATCCTCAATTTTCCTTCCAGGAGAATTAGCAGTGATGCATTCTCAGAAACATCAGAAGAAAACAGATGAAATAGCAAAGGAAAACAAGTTAGCTGATGAGGCAGCCAAGTCATTGCCAAGTTAGCTGATGAGGCAGCCAAGTGAGGCCTAAGGGCCTCAACACTCTTAAAGCCCCTCTAATCAGGATATGATCTCTAAGAGAAATTAAGCCTCAGCACATCCCTACAGGGATAGAATGGGCCACTTCCCAGGGGCACATTTTTTACCCCTTAAGATAGCTATAGTCAGAGGATGGCAAACCCCACATGCCAGCCTCCAGCAAGCAGAAAGTCCTTAAGATCCTTCACTAAGTTTTTCACTTGTGAAAGGATAAAACTTAGTTATGTCCAGAATTGTTTTCAGGAGAGAAATTATTGAAAATAGACCAACAGATTGTTAATGCTTGTGAAGTCTGTCTTAAAAATAATCTTTTTAACAGGCAGCTCCTTCCTTGTCAAACACAAATGATAGAATTCTATCTTATAGAGAACGGGCAGATAGACTTTGCCCACATGACAAAGATGAGGCCATAATACCTCCTTATAAAGGTAGATACTTTCACTAACTGGGTAGAAGCATTTCCATGCTGTACAGAAAAGGTCTCTGAGGTAATAAAAGTGTTAGTCAATGAAATAACTCCCCACTTTGCTATACCTAAGTTCCTCCAAGATGACAATGGCAGCCATCACACATGGGGTCTCAACGGCACTAGGCAAACATTACCACCTCTATTGTGCTTGGAGATCCTGGTCTTCCAAAAAGGTTGAGAACACAAATTATATGATCAAGCAACACCTCAAGAAAACTGTCCCAAGAAACTCACTTTCCTTGGGTCAATCTTTTTCCCATGGCTTTACTGCAGGTAAGAAATATCCCTTCAGAGTTAGGTCTGGGCCATTTTGAAATCCTGTATGGATGGCCTTTTTTAACAAATGATTTTCCAAAAGACAAAGAAGACCTCCAAATTGGTTAAGCATGTAACTTCACTAGCTCACTTCTAACAGGAATTAATACAAGTAGCAAAATACAACTATGAGAAATAGAACAACCTTTTGCTAAACCAGGAGATTTGGTATTGATAAAGGCTTTCCTCTCCATAGCTTCTTTCCTTAGCCCAAGCTGGGAAAGGCCTTACACTGTTCTTTCAACCCCATCGGTGGTAAAATTTATAGAAATTGACTCCTGAATACATTACACTAGAGTCAAATCTTGGAAAGCTGAGGGAGTAGCCCTGGATGACCCAGAGGGATATCTTGGATATTAATGTGAAGAGGTAGGGAATCATAAGCTGTAAACAAAAGAAGCAAATTCCAGAACCATCTGAGACAGCTACTGAGTGTCCCACTCTTCCGTTCCCCTTATTTGGGGTCCCCTCCAATCATGCCATCAGTTCCTCCAGTTTCACCACCTCCAAACCTCCCCACTTCCCCAGCTTCACTGTTAGCCCTACCAGAAATGACCAATGGAGGTGATCCCACTATGGTTCAATTTGCTTTCTTTTTGCAGCACTTCAGGTAAATAAAGGGAGACTTGGGCCAGTTTTCTGATGACCTTGATAGATATATACTTTTCCAAAATATAACTCAATTGTTTGACCTTACATGGAGGGATGTTATGCTGCTCCTAAGCCAAACCCTAACGTCTGCTAAAAAAATAGACCAGCTCTGCAGGCAACAGAAAAATTCAGAGACTAGCATTATGTTTCCTATAGTAGGCCAAGAAGAAAAAATGAATATAGGGAATGCAAAGAAATAGGGGAGCTGAATCATCATTCCCGATAGGAAGAGAGGGTACCACTTGACAACCCTGATTGGAACCCCAATGACTCCACAGATGAATGGAAAAGAAAACACTTTGTACTGTGCATATGGAAGGGCCTATGGAAAACTAGCATCATGGAATTTTATTACTCTAAACTTTTCATGATAAACCAAAAGCTAGATGAGAAATTAGAATCTCTCAGCCTTTATGGAAAGGCTATGAGACACATGCTTCTTTATCTTCTGATTCAGTTGAAAGATGGCTAATTCTAAAGGATAAGTTTATTGTATAGGCAGCTCCTGATATTAGAAGGAAAATGCAAAGGCAGGCTATAGGACCAGATAGTACCTTGGAAAACCTCCTGAGAGCAGCCACCTTGGTATTTCATAATGGAAACCAGGAGGAGGCCCAGTAGAAAGAAAACACAAGAGAATGACAGAGACCACAGTGATTGCTTTGCAGGCTTTCAAAGTCCAGGAACTCTGAAGTGCATCTGCTAGTTGCTACCAGTAGTGCAAGTCAGGGTACTTTAAGAAAGATTGCCCAGGCAGCAAGAAGCCACCTGGACCCTCTCCAGCCTGGGGTGTGAAGCACTGGAGATTGGACTGCCTGCAGAGGTGGAAGGACTGGGCTCAGAATCAGTCTCAAAGATGATCCAACAGGACTGATGGGTCCTGGGGCTCAAACCCCCAGCTCCAGCGTCTCAAAATACCATTACTTCTCAGGAGCTGTGGTTGATTCTGGAAATTAAAGGAAGAAGGATAGACCTCCTTCTGGACACTACAGTCAGTCTCTCTCTTCTCTTTAATCCAGGCCTCCCCTATTCCCATAGCACTACTCCGATGAGCATCTCAGGAAAGATTTTGACCCAATATTTTTCTCAACCCTTTAGTTATAGTTGGGGAGACTTACTATTTACACATGCCTTCTTAATCATGCTGAAAGTCCTACTCCTTCATTAGGAAGGAACATTTTAGCTCAAGTGAGGGCCACCATCTTTATAGCCCAGGGACAAACTCATTATCTTTCCCAGTGGAAGCAAATATTTATCCAGAAGTGTGACCAAGTCAAAGAAACATAGGTTGAGTCATAACTGCTAAGCCAGTCTTCATCTACCTTAAAAGTACCACTTCTTTTCCTAACCCAAGACAATATTCCCTAAAGCCACAGGCTAGGAAAAGGACAGAAGCCATTATTAAATACCTGAAAATGCAGGGCCTCCTCAAACCCTTACAACATTCTGATATTAGGGATGCAAAAACCCAATGGGAAATGGAGACTAGTCAGGACCCCTACCTCACTAATGAGGTAATAGTTCCAATTCATCCAGTGGTCCCTAATTTTTATACTTTGCTAACTCAAGTACCCAAGAGAACTAAATGGATCACAGTTCTAGATCAATTTAAAGGATGTTCTGTATACCATCCTGACTCTCCTGATTCTCAATACCTGTTTGCCTTTGAAGATGCCTCTGACCAAACCATCCAGTTAACATGGATGGTTAACTCAGGGATTTTGAGACAGTTCTCACCTGCTTTCACAGGCAGCATCAAAGGGCCTCTCTAAGTATTCTCAACCTCGGGTCAGGATGTTACAATATGTAGATGATATTCTCTGTGCCACAATTGAGGATGCATCTCGGGAAGGCATTGAAGCTCTTCTTAAAGTCTTAGCTGACAGAGAATATGAGGTTTCAAAACCCAAGGCCTGGATTTGCCAAACTTCAGTAAAGTACCTGGGTTTAATGTTGTCTGAAGGGACCAGAGCATTAGAGGAAGAAACGATTAAGCGCATTTCCTCCTTTGCTCTCCCTGAAACCCTCATGCAACTAAGAGGATTTGGGGATATTTTAGGATTTTGCAGACTATGTATACCTGGGTACAGTAAGATAGTTCACCTGTTATATCATCTCATAAAACAAACTCAAGCAGCCAAAACTCATTTTCTAAACTGGAGACCTGAAGCCTGAAGGACCTTTATCCAGCTAAAAC